ATATGTATATTTCGTTATACATATACAAAAGAAAGCAGTTGTATAATCTGTTTTGGTATACATATACAAAAAGATCAATTGTATAAAGTGAGAGAGGCGAGTGAGCAAGCGAGATCTGGAGAGTGGCGAACGAGATCTGGGAGAGGAGAGAGAGGGGAACGAAAATATATGTATATATACAATTTTATCTCGCTTTATACAAACACAATTTATATATTTGCGTTTGTATAAAAAGCGAGAGAGGCGAGGGAGAGAACGAGAGTGGCGAGCGAGATTCACCAGGAGAGAGGCGAAATAGCAACAGTTTGCTATGAGGTACAATTAAATCAAACTATATTTATAGCATTTAATTTGAATTAATAGTTTGCTATTATATACCATTTTCCTTTTATTTAATTCATATCTAGTTAGAATTTGTTTATCCTAATTTATATAGGAATATGTTTTCTAGTCCTAATTTAATTTAGTTTCTTACTATTATATATAAGTTATATATAAGAATGTTATTAATTATTTTCAATAGAAAGATTAGAAAGAACGATAGGGAAATAGAAAGAACTTGAAGTAACATTCAAAAGATTTTCCCCTCTTTCACTTGTATACTCTATCTTCCAAACATAAGCCATGGACTCATCAAAACAAAATCTCAATGAAGTCACAAATTCAATCGATAAAACCCTAGAAATTCTGAACCAACTTTATCTCACAAGCTCTTCTAACGACGTAATTCCCCTTGTTCAAGGCATGAATAATCTTGTGCTCGAACTTGATAATATGGCGAAATTGGGAGAAAAATATTATATTCAAGTGTCAATAGACGTTATGAACTTGATCGATGATGGAAAGAATTCAGATGAGTATACAAGAGATATGTTGAATAGTTGTATAGCCAGGAACCAAATCACTAAAGGAAAAACAAATGCATTCAAGGATTTACGAGGGCATTTCCTCGAGGAGCTCGATCAGGCTTTCCCTAACGAGGTGGAAGCCTGTAGGCTAGTAAAACATTTGCTTTAGGCCCTAACAAGTTTTAATAGTGAATTATGATTTTACTAGTCAATTTGTATGGAAAGATTATAGTGAATCTACTATGGTCTTGTTATAAATTTAGTTCAGATCATAGATATATAAAATACAAATTTTATACATTGCATATATACCAACAAAAAAAAAAGTTGATCAGGTATATCTCATATTGATTGTACTCTCTCCATCTTTAATTATCTGTTATAATTTTTAAAAATAGTATGTTACTTGACAAAGCCAGATTGTGTCAAATTTTGCTCAATCGCATTTTCTAGGTCCTCTTGTCACACATGTATCAACACAAATAACACCAAAAATAACATGAGAAATAAAGGCTATAAGTAAAATCTAAAATACTAGATAGTAATTTCTAAACCCTATTCTCCAGTAATGACGTCAAAATTTGATATGCATAAATATCATCTTGAAATTATATAAAATGGTCATTGATTAAATATAGAATTCAATTAGGTTGAAGTCAACTCCAACATAGAATACAATTAAAAATTTACTCAAAAGTGTAATGTCCAACTTAAAGTCTAAATTTCTAAAGAAAAAAAAGGGTAATGTTGATTGAATTTAGAACTAATGACTAATGATTGTAATTGATTCAATAATTGACAAAGTTTGTGGTCGCAACATTTGAGATGCGGTCTCATATATCTGATGGACTTTCAACTATTTTTTTTGTGTATTTTTTCTTCAAAAATTCATAAAAAGAACCCCAAAAGTATAAGGAGCGAGTGCAAAATAACATCAAAATCTCATGACTTATCATATATTTAGAGAGAGAGAGGGAGGGGGGAAGGGGACGAGATTTTTACTTAAAATAATATTGGAGATGATAAAAAAAAAAAAAGGAACAAAATTTACGCACAAAAAAAACTTTCACTTCTATCAATAGTGAAGATTGTAAAAAAAGAATAAAAAGACAAATTTTATATAAAAAAGAAAAAAAAACTATCTACTTTTTTTTAGAAGAATTATTTTAGAAATTTGAATTAAACTATTTCATATTAATAAATAAAGTTTTTACAACAATATCTAAGATAATGTATTGCAGACAAATAGCTAACATATTATTACCTAAAACCTATTCTTACTTTTATAAATAATTATGTTATAATTTGAAGTTATATGTTTTATGTCTTTTACCAATATACTACAATAAGACCAAGTATTATCTAAGAATAAAAAAGACAATTCTAAATTATTATATTGTGTGTTTACACACACATACAAAAAAAATCAAAGAAATAATATGAAGAAGCTTACCTGAATAGAATGCTAAGAGAAAGGAGAACTTTTGGTGTGCACAGACCGGAGTCCGCAATGATGTGTACATTAAAAACACATCGACAAGACACGTAGCCAAAATGGAGCAATAAAAAGACCAAAATACTCTTAGATCCATGAAACAGGCATGCTGCACAATCATTTTTTAATATAAGAGTAACATATATATATATATATATATATATATATATATATATATATATATATATATATATATATATATATATATATATATATATATATATATATATATATATATATATATATATATATATATATATATATATATATATATATATATATATATATATATATATATATATATATATATATATATATATATATATATATATATATATATATATATATATATATATATATATATATATATATATATATATATATATATATATATATATATATATTACTTCAGATAAGAAAACATGATCATCAAACAATAGATAAGTGTGATATATGTCTGCTTCAAGAACTACAAAAATAGAGTCTCCTAAGAGGCCATCAGAGGACAGTGTAAAACTGAAACGAGTCCGCCAGACGAAGAGTTTTGGACAAGTAAAGATAGAAATGGCTAATAGAGCCTGGAGAAAAATTGATGCATTAGCAATTACAATTTGTAATAGTCATTGTTGTGTAACAAAGAAAAACAATAGAGATTGATATGAAGAAGATAGAATAAATCTTTAGGGAGAAAAAGGTGGAAACAAAACGGATTCTTAACAACAAAAAAATGAAAATTAGTAACTGCCAGTTGAAAGAGATAAAAATTGGGCGGGAACTTAAATACAAATTAAATTATTATGTTTTAAATAAATTTGTAATAATTTGTTTATTAAAAGAGATTAACCAATATTATTTTTTATTTTACCACAAAGATGAAATAATCAAATACCTGGTGGTTGTTGTCACTACGGGGCTAGTAAGAAAAAGATTGGCGGCGTTTCGCAACTTGATCTCGATCCCATTGATAATTTCTGAAGAGAAAGTGGCTTGAATTGCGATTTTAGGATTAGGTTTGGGTTCCGCAGGAATTAATGTGTTGAGAGGACAAGCTAGGTTTGGGTTCCGCTAGAAGCACATGAGGGAGATGGGCATCTCGCCATTTGGTCTAAGTCGATCAAAGATTTCATTTAAGTCGATCAAAGATTTCATCTTTGTAGTAGCTAGTGGGTTGATAGGATAGAGGGATACTGCGGTGCTAGGTTTAGGTGGTTTAGGCCAACTTAAATGAGAAAAAGGCCCAAAATTTTGTATGAATAGATACATGTGATAATTTGTATTTATATAGAGATATGTCGTAATACCTCGGTCTTAGAAAGAGCTAAATCATGAGTTTTCAAATTTCAAATTCATCCATGAAATTGAGTATATTGAGCTCTTTGAGATTTGTGTTTTATTCTTTGATAATGAGGTTTCGTTGAGTTTTAAGGTGAGGATCTTGCGAATGAGGGTTGTTCTTGAGGAATTTTCGAGTGGATTTTGGTTTACTTGTGTTGGGTTAATTAATCTAAGGGAGTTTGAAAGAAATCAATCGATTCTAGGCAAGTTAGGGCCAAAAATCGAAGAAGAAAATTGGTCGGATTTCTGGATTTGGGCTGGTGCGGCGCGCCCCTATAGCGCCAGAGGTCCTGACGCGACGCACCAGGGGTCCTGACGCGACGCACCAGCAGTGCGCCCAATCAGACCCCAGTAAATAGGGGTTTGTTTCGAAGCGCCCTCAGTGCGCCAAATTAGACACCCAGTCAATGAGGTCCTGGAGCGATGCGCCATCAATGCACCCAATCAGACCCTCTGTAAATAGAGGTCTGGCGCGACACGCCAGCACTACGCCCAATCAGACCCCAGTAAATGGAGGCCTAGCGCGACATGCTAGCAGTGCGCCCGGAGCGTTAGACCGTTTTCTTTCTCTATTTTCGTTCCGTACTTATTCCTTTGAGTTGAGTTTTCAATCCTTCTTAATTCGAACTATCTAAACCTTCATAAATCATTGAGAGATCCTTCATATATCCTAATCATGTCTCTTAATTTTACTTTTCAAATTAAAGTAAAGATTAGGAGTAAAAATTCGAAAAAGTTTTCGAGAAGTTTTTTTCAATCTTTTTAAACTTGAATTAAGACTTGAGTAAATGAGTATGAGGATGAGGAGAGTTGAATTCATTTTTTTCATAATGAATATAAGGGAACTAAGTATTTCCAAGAGTAAATGTTTTACATTTAAAATGAGAGGAAACTTTGATTTCCAAATGGGTTCATGAGGAGTTTCTGAGTACTATCTCTTTTAAGAGAACTTTTTGAGTAATAATATCAAAGTTTGAGGATGAGAAAATGTTTTCAAACATATGGACATGAGTTATATTATTGGGAGTAGTATTGAGCACCGATGTGGGGACGAGTTCAGACAATTTAAAGTCCTAATAAACCATGTATGCCAACATGGGTAAATTAAGGGTCATACTTTTTAGATGATTCCTTATTACTTTTAAGCATATCTTAGTGGATCCACTTAGTTGAGGATGTCTAATACTCCGGCAATGTATAGGATAGTTCTGGCAGCGTGGGCGAGACGATGTATCATCACATAACTCATAGTGATGGTTGTAGGTTAGAGAATCTCCAAATAAAAGTAAAAGAGTTATTATTGTATTTTTAAATTCATTTAATTACTATTCATTGTTTTAAAAGCTTTCTTTATTCTGCATCTTTAGTGTTGCTTCTATATTGAATTGAGTTGAGTATCCTTGAGATGAGAGTAAAAGAGTTATAATTATATTTTTAAATACATTTAGTTACTATTCATTGTTTTAAAAGCTTTATTTATTCTGCATCTTTAGTGTTGCTTTTATATTGAATTGAGTTGAGTATCCTTGAGATGAGAGTAAAAGAGTTATTATGTATTTTTAAATACATTTAGTTAGTATTCATTGTTTTAAAAGCTTTCTTTATTTTGCATTTTTAGTGTTGCTTTTATATTGAATTGAGTTGAGTATCCTTGAGATGAGATGAGTATGTTCTTCCTTTTTATCAGTTCAAGCTTATGTTTGTGCTTTAGAGTTCCCCTTGCATGCTCGTACATTTCATGTACTGACGCCAATTGGCCTGCATATTTCACGATGCAGATACAGGTAATCAGGGTCATCAGCAGGTGCTTTGTTGATACCACTTGTAGTTCCAGAGTTGCTTTAGTGAGCCTCCTTGCTTCGGAGGGTTCCACATTTACTTTCAGTCTTGTTAGGATGTCGTAGATCTTGTCCCGACTTCCATCATAGTTGTTAGAGGCTTCATAGATAGACATTAGTGTTTTGAGGAGTCTTGTTCATTTCCATTGTTAAATGCTTAAGACTTGAGTTGCCTCTTTTGGCCAGTTGAATGTTTCTCTAAATATTCTTAGTTAATTACTTTGAGATATTTGAGTTAAATCTTTTCATTTGAGTTCCTATATTGTTGAGTAAGTCTTCCGCTGAGTATTCAGTCCGGCCAAGGGTTTGTTTGGGAACCAACAATGGTTCTCGAGTGCCAGCCACGTCCAGGGTGTAACTTGGGGCGTGACATATGTATTGAAAATACCCCTAAACTTAGCGTGAATTATTACTTTAGTCCCTCAACTATTGTCAGCTTTGAAAACACCCCTCTACTTGATTAAGTAATTTAAAAACATCCTTGTTATGCCACATGGCATC